ATCCATCATCCATCCATCCATCCATCCATCCATCCATCCATCCATCCATCCATCCATCCATCCGTCCTTGAGATTGAATCCAGGGGTGTTTTACCACTATACAGCTATACACCCAGTTCTTTAATTTTTCACTGTGAGCAGGGTCTTCCTGAGTTGCCAAGGCTGGCCTCAAACTTGTGATCCTCAGCCTCCCAAGTGTGGCATTGCAGGCATGAGCCACTGTACCCTGCTAAGCTCAGCCACTTTAAGAAAGCCACAAACTCACAACCACAGGGGTGAAGCTACTATGCTCATCCATGTTTAACCCTAAACACCCCGATGGTGCTAGGGGAATATTTTCCTGTTCGAGCTACTCTTTAGGTTCCCCAGATGCAGTGTGTGGGTGAGCGTGTGGAGGGTCTCTGCCTGTCCCCTTGCCCTGCTTATTGTTCTTCCCCTCCCCTATGACTGGCGAGTGCAGGTCAGGGGAAGGGTCTGTTCCATGTGCCAGCTGCCCTTGTCATTTGGCTGTTCTCTGGGTGACAAATGTTTTGAGCCAATTTATTTTCCTGTGGGTGCTTTCAAGAGGCTCTTAGAGACCCTCTGAGCCTCTTTCTCTCCTCTTGGGATGTGGGAGATCTGCCTCCCTGAGCTGAATGTCTCCTACTCCCTGGTCCTCAGATGGCCTGGTTCTAAGATGGCCCCCTCCACAGTCTCTGGCTGTTGGAACCTGGGAGGTCCTTTGGGGCAGGATTCAGAGCAGATCCAGTCTGGCCTTGGGCAACCCCCTCCTCCGTGAGATGCACTTGGGTCCCTTGCTCAGCTGTGGATGGGAGAACAGCACCTCCAGATGGGGCCTCGCCTTCTCCTCTTTGCAGAGTTAGCCTCCTGAGCGTGAGTTAGGCCGTGGGCCTGTGTCTCCCACTCCAGGGAACTCATTTCAAGGGGAAGAGGGCGAATACCTGCACCTTGACCCAGGTAGTGGCCGGGGGCTCAGACCCTGCAGGAGCTCCTCTCCCCCAAAAATCTGATCAAAAATCCTTTTTCCGTTCCACCCTAGAAGTTGGTGTGCTGCCCTACATGCCCAGAGAGTGGGTCCTGGGCCAGCCCCTTGGTAAATGACAGAGCTCTGGCTCCTGGCTTTGGAGTCTGACATCTCCTGTCTCCTGGTGGTGTAGTGGGAGCTTCAATTTTAACTTTCTGTTCCACTTCATTCATTCATTCTGGGGGCTGCCAGGCAGGAACCTGTTCAACCCAGTTTATATGGGACACACACACACATACACACACACACACACCCACACCCTCTCAGACAAGCTGTGTACAGTGTCCGATGGGTGATGTGCTCTATGAGTGATGTGACAGGAGACTGGAGAAGGGTGGACTTTTGAGCTCCTGCCCTCGTCCTGCTCCTCGATGGGTCTGTTGACATCAGGGGGCTGGCAGGGTCCTGAAGTCCACCCCTCCTGCAGGATGTTTGAGCTGACCTGCACTTTGCCTCTGGAGAAGGACCTGAAGATCACCGTCTACGACTATGACCTCCTCTCCAAGGATGAGAAGATTGGGGAGACAGTCATTGACCTGGAGAACAGGCTGCTGTCCAAGTTTGGGGCCCGCTGTGGACTCCCGCAGACCTACTGTGTGTACGTGCTTGGGGCCCGTGGCTTCTCTGACAACCAGTCACCCTGTCTGTTGAGCTTTTTGCTGTGTGTCCACCTCGGGCTTAGCACTTCCCAGGTGTTCTCCCCTTGAGCCCAATGGGGGCCTTGACTTCACTTAACAGATGAGGAGACTAAGGTGCAATAAGGCCCATGGCTTATGAGTGGTGCGCTTAGGATTTGAGCCTGTTCATCTGACTCTGAGGACCTGCCTCTTGTTTGTATTGTTATAACCCAGTTCTCTGATATATCATGGAGGCCTGCAGAGAACTGGGCACCTGGGAAGAGATGAAGAGGGAAGGAGGAAGAGGAGGAAAGGAGATGTCAGTGGGCTTCCGCTGGGCCTTGCGGGGAACTCCGGGATGGTCTGTCAGGGGACTCGCAGGTGGATGGTACCTCTTCCCACCATCTTGAGTCTTGTTTGGGTCTGATTCTCTAACTTGGGAAATTGGAAACATCTAAGTACCAATTCCATGGGTACTTAAGTCCTTTGCCTCTTTGGTCCTCTGTTTTTCCATCTAGAAAATGATGCAAGTGGAGGGTGGGTGATGCCGTCTCGGGGGTACACAGGTCACTACCGACCCTTCTGCCCCATTCAATGTTCTTGGAGTGTCTCATCTTTGCCTTGTACTTGGGCTTCAGCTCTGGACCGAACCAATGGAGGGACCAGCTCCGCCCCTCCCAGCTCCTCCACCTCTTCTGCCAGCAGCACAGGGTCAAGGCCCCTGTGTACCGGACGGACTCTGTGACCTTTCAGGATAAAGAATATACCATTGAGGAGATCGGTGAGCTCTCCTGTGACCCCCACACCATGCCGAGTCTCCCTCTCTTTCTCCTCTTTCTTCAGGTTTTCCCCTGTCGTAAAGGCTCAGGTGGACATGGTCCATGTCAGTAGGGTGAGGGCTTGGATTTCTGCAGGGCAGCACAGATGCACCAAGTTTACTCTTGGTGTTTTGGGACCAATATTTAGCCATGACAACGTTGTGAAAATCAGAGGTCAGGGTGGGGTCAAGGTCAGTGGTCAGGGTCAGAGCTCTGTCCAAGGCCATGTTGGAGCTCATCTGAAGGCAAGGATAGGAGTGAGTCTGAAGCCAGGATCAGAGTCAGGGTCAGGGTTAGGATTCATCTTCTGGCTTTGGTAATTAGACTTTGTTCAGAGTTTGGGGGACATCCATCTCTGAGAAAAAGTTTTCTACTTGAATTGCAGCAGCCCACCAGCTGGACCTTGATGCACCTTCTGAGACCCCCTGGGTACTGTCCATGCACCTATGTCTCCAAATGGCAGGCAGGAGGTCCGTCAGTGCCCGACCCCTGCCCCCGGTTCTGCCTGATACTGATGGCTGAGATCCCCCCACATGCTCTCCATGTGTCTGGGATGCCACAGGCCTGCACTGCCCACCCAGAGCAGCTCAGCCTCCCCGGAGGTGTTTACAGGCCCAGCTGGCCCCTCGCCTCCTGCTTGTTTCAGAGGTGTTTGATGTCAGAGCTGGTGCTGAGGTTATAAAAGGGAAATGACAGCTTTGATGCCTCCCTGCTCAGGTCCCCCTCCTCCCCCTCGTTCTGTTTTCCTCACTTCCCCAGATTACGGCCGAGCCAGGCTCAGCCATCAGGCACCACCCCCCTTTTCCTGTGGAGCGTGCATCTGATCTAGGGACAGTCTCATTTCCTCCAGTGGCCACTGTTGCTCTGTGAGCACATTTAGCACAGGGGCCAGGGCTCGTGGTCATAAAATTGTGAGGTCCAACATCTGCCTGATTTTGCAGATGAGGCCATGGAGGCCAAGAGTGGTTAACAAACTGCCCAGAGTCACCCAGGCAGCTGGGAACAGAGCCGGATCACTGGCTCCTACAGGGACATTCTTCTTTCTTTGGGATCCCTATTAAGGTGGGCAGGACAGGTCCAATGGGTGAATGTGTGTGTATGTGTGTGTGTGTGTGTGTGTGTGTGTGTGTGTGTTGGTGTACGTGGTCACACCCGAGTGCCCTGGGTGTGTACTCGTGGGTGTGTACGTGCATGTGGACCACCATCACTCCCAGACAGGCCTCTAGCACAGGGTCCTCCAAGTCCGTGTCTCTGGCTGGTAGGCCAGGCTTCTCAGGGTCCTGTTTCTGGTAACTTTTTGTCCTCTCTCTGGGGTAGAGGCTGGCAGGATCCCAAACCCACACCTGGGCCCCGTAGAGGAGCGCCTGGCTTTGCACCTTCTTCAGCAGCAGGGCCTGGTCCCCGAGCACGTGGAGTCACGGCCCCTCTACAGCCCTCTGCAGCCAGACATTGAACAGGTAGGACCTCAGCCTCTGGGTCCTGGAGCCCTTGAGCCCTAGAGCCCCACCCCAAGGTCAGCATGAACACCTAAAGGACACACTAGAGCCCCTGGGATTTGGCCAGTCCCTCTTTGACCCATTCCTTTGCAGTGTGAGTGGTCACCACTGGTGAACTAGGAGGGACCTCTAGGAACTGGCCTCCCTGGCCACCTCCAGCTCTCAGAGGTGGGTGGGGGGGGTGAATCCCAGAAACTTTAGCCATGTGTAGGCCCAGCCTCTGACTTCAGTCCACCCTTCTAGAGCCCCACTGTTCTACCCGGTCCTCAGGGTGTCTCCCTGCCCACTGCCATCTGTCAGAGGCTCCGTGTCAGATGCCCAGCCCTGTGCTGGGCTGCAGCTGGGTGTTCAGAGAGGGTTCCTAGTACCCTATAACCAAAGGGCAAAGAAAGCCATAGAGAGCATCTGCAGGAGGGGCAGGGGAACCCTCCCATGCAGAAGGGGGGGTGAGCCTGGAGGAGATGAGCCCAGAGCTGGGTTTGGAGGAAGCTAAGAGGAGAGAAGGTCACAGATGAGGTGGGTTCAGGGTGAGTCCTGGAGATACCTTTGTCAGAAGCAGACTCTCTTTCCCCAGGTGGCCTGGTGACCAGCCTCCCCAAGGTAGTGCAAGGTCAGCACTGCAATCCCTGCCCCTTAAGATGGGGACAAAATTCACATTGGGCTTGCAGAGAGGGTGGGGCTGAGGGTGGGCAGGTGGAGGGGCTTTCTTTCCTGGAGACCTTCCGAGTCCCCTGACTAAACCCTGCTCTGTGCCCCCCACCATATTGCATAGACCACTCCCTAAAACACATCAGCCTCCCCGGGGAGTCTGCCAGGTTGGTAGCCTGTGGGGAAGCTGGCTCACCTCTGCAGAGGACCCTGCAGTCCCTTGATTAGGGTCCCTTCCCCACAGGGAAGCCTCTTCCTGGCAGGGCCTGAGTTTTCTCTGTCCCCTGTTCCCCAAGTGCCTGGCCCAGAGCAGCTGTGCCATGGCCATTTGAATGTAAAGGCTGGTGGCAAAACAGGCTTGTATCTCACAGGGGAAGCTGCAGATGTGGATTGACCTGTTTCCCAAGGCCTTGGGACGGCCTGGACCTCCCTTCAACATCACCCCACGGAAAGCCAGAAGGTGACTGACCCAACCCCAGGCTCCCAGCTAAGCTGGAGGCGGGAGGGTCGTGCTGGCTCTGGGTGGGAGCCGCAGGTTGCTCTTTGGCCAGGCTTTATGCGACTTGGGGCTCAGAGTCCAGCTCTCCTTTGGGTCTGGTCAGGTGTCCAGCAGGCATGTGTCAGGCCTTCCTGGATGAGCCAGCTGCTCAGCTCTGGTGGGAAATCTGTGTGGATTTGAGTCTTTCTCCATCCCCTCAGGTTTTTCCTGCGTTGTATTGTCTGGAACACCAAAGACGTGATCCTGGACGACCTCAGCGTCACAGGGGAGAAGATGAGCGACATTTATGTGAAAGGGTAAGGCGCCATGGCCATTCTGCCTGTGCCCGCTCAGGGGCTTGCCCTGCACCCTCGGGAGGCGCCCAGTGGGTGGAGCTCTGGGAGAACAGCAGGCTTCAAAGGAGGGTCTTGGAGGGTCTCCTCCTTTGGGACATTGTCCTCCCAACAGATTTCTTTTGCACTCATCTTTGGGCTAAAGTTACAAGGTTTGAGGATGCCCCAGGACAGTGGCTGAGATGTCAGTCTGCTTTCTGATGTGTGGCACGTTTTTGCATCTTGGAGATTTCTGGGAATTCTCTTTGCCATATCATTTACCCAGTTCATTGACCTTTGTAATTCCTCATTCCCAAGTTGGGCACGTTGTGAAATCTTAATAAATGCTTTTGGCATGTGTGTGTATGTGTGTGTGTGTGTGTGTGTGTGTGTGTGTGTGTGTGTGTGTCTAGCTGGATGGTCGGCTTTGAAGACCACAGACAGAAGACAGACGTGCACTACCGCTCCCTGGGCGGCGAGGGCAACTTCAACTGGAGGTTTATTTTCCCCTTTGACTACCTTCCTGCCGAGCAAGTCTGCTCTGTCTCCAAGAAGGTGAGTGTCCCTCGGCCCCAGGGCTCTCGGTCCAGGCTTTGCATTGCCAGTGGGATCCCATGGCTACTATCCCCATCAGTGTCCCCGCCTCTCTCCCCCCACTGCCAGCGCTACAACACTGTCCTCTCATTGCCGATGTCCCCACGGGCACTGCTCCATCTCTCTGCTGCTCCTCTCCCTTCCAAAGCTGTTGCCACCATCTCTTCTTCCTCTTCCTTTATCACTGCCATCTCTGGCATTGATGCCACCCATGACCACCCCACACCACAAAGTGACACATCTGTCACATGAACAAGTTCAAACCTTACCAACCCTGCCTTCCTCCCTGCCCCAGACGAGCCAGGCCGCAGGAAGGGTCTTGGGGTCTACATGGGAAGAGAGGGAACCCCAGCCTGGTCATTGGAGGTGCAGAGAGGGGTGACTTCTGGGGAGCTTCCCAAGAGGGCTGGCCTGGTGTGTGCCTGGGTTGCCTTAGCACTGGGCATGGCTTGGCAATCCCTCTGGCTGCCTGGCCTCCTGCAACTGTGTCTGGTGTCTGAAGTTGCTGTCCAGGTTGGACAGGCCCCGGGAACCTCAAGCGCTGCCCTTCTCTCTCCACTCCACCACCTCTCGCTGCAGGCTGAAGGCACCTGGAGAGACAGGCCAGCAGCAGCCAGCAGGGAGAGGTGGATTTGGGGACCTCAGTCTCTGTGTCTCAGCATCTCCCAGTTTAGGTCTCCTCTGGGCCACAGCCTCTCTACCTCTGATCTAGGCAAAGCCAATGGCAGGTGCCTCCTGCCTGAGGCCTGCCCTTAGGGAGCAGCCACCAGAGCACAGTGAAGGGCTTGCTGTGGGCAGTGAGGGGCTCTGGGCCAGGCTGACCGGAGACAGAGGCTCCCTGGGAGCTTCTAATCACCCTCATCCACCACTTTGCCTGGCATGTCTTGCCACCTGTTGGTGCAGATCCCTCTCTGAGTAGGTCCTGCTGGTCTGGTTTCCATCTGGGTGTGTCTCAAAGCTTCAGGCCCCGAAGCCCCTGTGATTCTCTCTCTCTCTCTCCTGACTGGTTGCAGGAGCTCAAGAAGGGACATAGGTAATAGGCTCGGGCTACCTTGCTCTTCTGAATTCTCCTCATGGCCTCCTCTGCCTGATCCTTCCCAGCCCAACACAGAGTCACCTGCACTTTAGAGAAACAAAAATGCCCATTGGACATTCTCAGATCATCAAACAGAAGAAGACACAGAGAAACGAGGCAAAAGGGATCGCTGGGTAGCACCTGCCAGAGAGCAGAAGTTAGCCACAGGAGGTTCTGTGGAGTCAAGGACAGCCCAGATCACTGCTAGGTCTCATCTCCTGTGCTTTTGCCCAGTATTTGTCTGTCCCAGACTGGTGCCCAAATGGAACACATGCTGCCATCTGTCAGAGAGCACCATGCACCATGTCATACAGGTCCCAACACCCCTCCCAAGTCTGCTGCGGACAGGGAGGGCGGGGCCAGGAGTGGAGAACAGAGCCTTCTCAGGGGCTCCCCAAGCCCTACAGGGGCTGGCACGGTTGGGGAAACTGGGGCCAGGAGATGCACATGGCCACTCTGATGGGAGATGAGGCAACCCCTTCACTGTGACAGGTGGGCATGTGGCAGGGGGTGGCCAGAGGGGAGGTTTCTGTCTTTTTCTATAAAATAAGAGAAGAGAGATAAACTGGCCTGTCACGTGATCTGGGACAAGTGGAAAGGGTGGGAAACAGTGCCTATGCTGAGTGGGAGAAAGAGGAATGGGGAGGGGACATGGAGAATGCTGGTTGGTGGCATGAGAAGGGTGACCTGGCATCTCTGAGGGCCCAGGTGGAGTTGCTGATTAATAATTTGGGCATCAGTGAAGTTCTGTGTCTGCATCGAAGGCCATAGTGAAGAAGCTGGGTTAGCTCACGGGGTACCAGAGGAAGCACTGAGGGTGACCGGGAGGGTCTGGCTGGCCTGATGGCCTCCACTCGGAAGGAGAAGAGGGAGAGGAGTCAAAGAGTGAGTAAGAGGTACATTTGGGGACGAGGGGACAGCAGGTGCTCCTGACCTCAGGCTCTGTGCAGAGGATGGCTGGGGGCAGAGACTGAGGTCACAGGAGGAGGAGGAACAGAAACAGCCCAGGTGGTTCTGAAGGCAGCCTCTGGGGAGAAGGGGCCCTGGGTGGCAGGTGGAGCCATGCCCACAGCAGGGCCCTAATTAGCTGGTCTGGGCTGACGGACATGTCTGAGGTGGGCTGGTGCAGGGGCTGTGCAGCCTGTGGGCTCCCTGGGCCTGCTGCAGAGCCAGCCCTCGGCCGTGGGCTTCAGGGCCTCTGGCAGGCAGGCCCTCCAGGGACCCCATTAACCAGACGAGACTGTCGTAAAGTACAAGGTCTCCTTTCATCCAGCTGCTTTGAACCACCGCTGGTTGCCCTGGCCCAGCTCCCCACCTGGAGCCCAGCACACCCACCGGGGCCTGCAGTGCAGCAGGCACCCACCCTGCAAATAAACAGCTAGTAAAAGGGCCCAGGCTGGGAGCATAATGAGCGCCGGGGACCTGGGGGGCTCATTCCCCAGGCTGGAGCCCCCGCCCAGCTGCTCCCACCAGGGGCTGTTTGAACCTCTGGCTCATTACTGAGCCCATAAACCAGACCGGCCAGAGGATCGGAGGCTGCTGGCGGCCCTGCAGGCGGGCCTGGAGCTGGCCATAAAAGCTGGCCAGAGGAGGCAGACACCTGCAGGAGGGCTGGGCTGGGCTGGGGCCTGGAAAAGGGGAACATCAGACAGAGGGCCGGGGGCCAGGGCGGCTGGGGACCTGGGCGCCTGCTCCAATCCAGGCAGCAGTCCTGTAGGTGGCTGTGCACCATGCCCACTTCTCAAGGGCCATGGTCATGGGCTCAGCAGAGAGCCCCGTGGGATCTGTGTGACCATGCTGCTCAGTGGGCACTCAGGACCCGTGAACCTGTTGTCCCCAGCACCTCCAGTGTCCCTGAGACTTGGGTTTAGGCCCTCCTCTGTCTGCCTCTCCAGATCTTCGCCTGTGCTTGCCACCAGCAAGAGAAAGAACAAGCCACTGTGAGCAGGACAGTCCAGTGACAGTCCTTGGGGTCGAGTGTGGCTGGAGTCAGGGGCTGGCTCGGGCCCACACCCCTCAGTTGCTCCATGAGGCTCTGAGGGAAGCAGTCCAAGGTGACCTGGCTCCAGGTGGAGCTGGTGTGAGGGAGGTGGGACCAGGAGAAAGGGACCCCTCCTCTTGTTCCAGTAGGAGGATGGGGACTCCCAGTGCTGGGGCAAGCTCTGGGGGTGCAGAGGTATGGAGAGGGGTGATGAGGGACGAGCTAGGGTCCTGGTCCCAGTGCCAGCTCCTTATCACAGTGTGCTGTGGTTCCTTCTGGTGCCAGCCAGGGTGGGTGGGGGACCCCACTGAGATCTCAGCCCTGCTGAGATCACTCTCAGAGCAGGACCCTGGAAGCTGACGGCCTGGGTTGGAACCCCAGCTTGCCACTTCCTGCCATGGGACTTTGGACAAGTTGCTTGCTTTGGTCTCCTCAGCTGAAAACATAGTGTCCCCTTGTAGGCTGTTGGAAGGATCGTGTGTCTAGTGGTAGAGGGCTGCCAATGTGTAGGAAATGTGACATTAATGTTCTTATTATTAGCTGTTAAACCTGGGCAAAGTCCTCTAACTCCTTCAAGCCTCAGTTCTATTGTCTGAAAAGCCAGTGATAACCTTGACTGACAGGGTTGGGAGGCCAATGGAGCCAGCTGACGTGAGGTGAGCCTGTGTGGTCTTCTTGTGGATCCTGAACACTACCTTCCAGAATCTGCCCTGACCAGCCTTCCCACCAGGACTTGGCTCTGGCAGGTCCCACTCCAGGGACATCCTACTCCACTTCTTCTTCCAGGCAGCCCTCCAGGTTGCAGGGACTGTGGCTTCACTAATGTTTTATTCCCTGTTTCCTTCTCTGCTCTTCCTCTGGGCCAGGATGCCTTCTGGAGGCTGGACAAGACAGAGAGCAAAATCCCAGCAAGAGTGGTATTCCAGATCTGGGACAACGACAAGTTCTCCTTTGATGACTTTCTGGGTGAGCCTTGTTTCCGGTCGGCCAGCACTGTGTATCAGAGGCTGGTCCAGAACCCGCTGCGCTGTGTGTGTGTGTGTGTGTGTGTGTGTGTCCGTGTGCCCCTGGAAAACATGGTAGGGTTTTCTGCTCTCAGGGGGCTCAGAGTCACTGGGTCCCCAGTGCTGAGTGAAATGTATGACGGAGCAGTGTCAGAGTGATCAGAGTGGCCTCCAGGGTGGGCCTCGTGCAGGATGGGGGACTCGGGTTGGTGAGGAAGAGGGGAAGCTCAGGCTGAAGCCTGCACAGGTGTGTGCTGCCTGTCACGGCTGAATGGCTTCGTGCTTGGCGGGTGCTCTCATTGCACCCCAGTCCAGACAGATTGAGTCCAGAAATCACAGTGTTCCAGCCACTGCTCCTCCTTGTGCCCAGGTGCTGGCTGAAAGAACAAACCACAGACTCCATCCCCCGATCCCAGGGGTCTGGTGGGGCTGGTGAGATCCTGAGCTGGGAGCAGGGAGCTGGGCTGAAGGGTTAGCAGAGGCAGTGCCTCTGCAGGGGTGGGAGGTGGGGACACAGATGGCGACTCTGCATTAGCTCTTCCAGTGTTAACTCTGGAAAACGGGGTCCATCCATAGGGTATTATTCATAAAATGCCACGAGAAAGAAATGAAATGCTGACCCACGACACCATGGAGGAACCTTAGGAATAAGCTCAGTGGGTGGTGGTTCATGTCTGTCATCCCAGCGGCTGAGGAAGCTGAGGCAGGAGGATCACGAGTTCAAAGCCAGCCTCAGCAACTTAGTGAGGCTGGATGTGGCTCAGTGGTTACATGCCCCTGGGTTCAATCCCGGTAGAAAAAAAGAAAAAAGAAAAAAAGAAAAACATGCTGAGTAAAAGAAGCCAGATGCAGAAGGACAGCTATTACATGACTCCGTGTATAGGAAAGGCCCACAGGAGGCGAATCCACAGAGAGGCAGAACCATCTGTGGGGATTGGGAGGAAGAGGCAGGGAGGAAAGGGACTGTTTAGTGGGTACAGGGGTTTCTTTTGGGGCCGATGAAAATGTTCTGGAATTAGATGGTGTCAGTGGTTACACAACTCTAAATGCACTAGAAGCCGTTGATTTGCACATTTAAAAATGGTTACAGTGCGGGCTGGGGTTGTAGCTCAGTGGTAGAGCCCTGGCCTCACACATGTAGGGCATTGGGTTCAACACTCAGCACCACATAAAAATAAAGGTATTATGTGCATCGACAACTAAAAATATATATTTTTTTAAAATGGTTAAAGTGGTAAATTTTATGCTGTTTGAATTTTACCTCAATTGAAAAAAAATTTTAAAAAGAATTTGAATCCATGGTAAAGGCAGCCCACGGAAGTCAGGATTCCTGCTTCCATTTCTGCTCTGCCATCTGGGAGCAGGGTGGCCTGTGGCAGATCACCGATGCCCTCCTGGATGGCTCTGGATTGCAGAAAGGGGAGCCCTCAGCCTCTGCAGGGGGCGTTCTGAGGAGCAGCTCCCAGCAGGGGAGGGCTGGCTGCCCATCAAACTGCTCTTGTTCCCTGGGACTCCCACAGTCCAGGTCCCATGCCCAGCAATCAGCACACTTAGGGCTGGGAGCTGCTCAGGACTTCATTAAGAGTCAGATGTAAAAGTGATGGCACCCAATTTGAATTTTGTTATTTGGCTTGTTGTTTTGTCTATTATTCCTGTAGAAAGATTAGATGACCACGGTAAGAATGGTTCTTCCTCCTCCTTAATCTCACCACCCAGAGATAACCTCTACCCACCTTTTGATGTACACTATTGTATGTTGGTTCATTGATAAACAAACATGGATACGTATGCATTCTATGTAGACATATGACATGTATATAAATATCCATCTGCACAGTATGTGAATGGGTGTATACCACACATATTGTTTTATATTCTGGGTTTCTTTTTTTAATTTAACATTTTGAGAGCACCCTCTCTGGTCCATGGGCATCCATCTACATTGATATCTGCATCACCACATTTGCCTGCCCGGGGTTTCATTGTATAGATGGAGCCTATTTTGCTTGGTTTATCCTCTCTCTCGGTAGATCGTCAGGCCATCTTTGGTTTTCCCAATGTGAGTGACATCCCTAGGCAGACATATTTGGAGCCTTTGTACATAGCTGTCATTTACTGTAGGAAGTAGATTTGATAGAGTCTGCACATTTTAATGGTTTTTGAAACATTTTGTTCAATTGCCCTCCAGAAATATCTTATTTATATTCCTACTTGTGTCCTGTTTGTACAAGGGTGACATTTCTCCTAAACATTTGCTACCACTGTTACTTTTTAAAAAAAAAAATTGTCAATTTTGAGATGTTCATCTTTTATTCTTGGTTTTCAGAGCTTTTTATATATTAAGGATACCTTGCAAATTTCTTGCCATTTTTTCATTTGGTCTTAATATTTTTATGGAAACTTTTTGCTATAGACATTAAAATTTGGGGGCATCATGGACTAGGGATGAAGCTGAAGAGTAGGGTGCTTGCTTAGCCTGCATAAGTCCTTGGCTTCAATCTTTAGGTTGGGAAAAAAAATGGAGACATTTATACTTTATGGAGTGAGGGTTCAGAATTAATTTTGAAAAAGGAAAAAAAAAGAAAATTGTATTTTTACTGAATTAGAAAATAGTGTTGAAAATAAGTTAAACAGGCTTATACTCTATTTTTTGGTGGTATTAGGATTGAATCCAGGGCCTCACATATGCTAGGAGAGTGCTCTGCCTCTAAGCTATATAACCACCCACGCTATGCCCCTGCTCCTCTTTTTAAAAAATTTGAGACAGGGTCTCACTAAATTGCTGAGGCTGACTTCCAACTTGTGATCCTCTGCCTCAGCCTCCTGAATAGGTAGGAGTCTAAGCATGTCCCACCACATCCCACTTCATCCTTTGTTTTTAAAAATAAACTTCATAAAACCATTAGCAAATACTATCTTTTAATTCTATGAGATTTCTCTTTTCCACTTTATACCATGTTTTATAATCGATAGTTTATACCCTTTGAATATTTGTTACTTTTTAGTCTTAATAGTTAAGCATCTATAATCTCATCATCCCGAGATAATCCTTTTGTTTCCTTAATCATCTTTAATGTAGATTGTGATAGGATAATTTGTGTGTGTTTGCGTGTGTGTGTGTCTTAATACTCTGATATTTACTTAATATTATATTGGGATCATATTTCAAATGGGAAATTAATATTTATCTGCACTGGGTGGAGGGACATGTGGGTGGATAGATAGATGAATGTGATGCATTGGTGAACAAGTGGATAGATATAGCGCTGAACAGGTGGAGGCTAAGAGGGAGGTAGATGGGTTGACGTGGGTGGGTAGATAAAAGGATAGATGGACAAATGGATGGGTAGAAAGAAAGAAAGCCAGGAAAAATAATAGGATCCAATGCCCAGCCACAGAAACTAAGCATTGTATGCTGCGAAAAATCTAAGCTTACCATGATAATAATCTCTTCAATTTGGCCCCAGGAAACAATTTTGCAATCCATCTCTCCCATGAGTCCCTCATGACGCATGCTCCAATCCTGTTGACTCCATCACATTTGATTGGATTAGGTGAAGCCATGAGATTGCTGTTCTTGAAGGTCAAAAATAGTTACCTATTGGCATTTTGATATGGTTGAATCAAATAGCTGCAGCTATGGAGAGAGGATGAGTAGCACGGTAGCGTAGGTGGCTCAGTGACAAGGTGGCTGGTTGGAAAGCCGGGTGGGTGGATGAAGAGACAGAGGTGAACCACAGTGAGGACCCGCTTCATACCTCCTAGGAGGACAAGAATATAGTAATGCTACCGAGATGAAGTCAGAGGTGTTGAGGATGTGCAGAAATCGGAATCTTTGTACCTTGCTGGGGTGGGTGTGACATGGTGCAGCTGCTGTGGAGAATGGTGTGGGTATTGCTCACACACCTGGATTACCATAGGACCAGCAGTGCTCCCAGGGAATTGAAAACAGGAACTCAGAGACTTGTATGCCAATGTTTACTACAGTATTATGCACAGTGGTCAAAAAGTGAAACAACTCAGGTCCATCAACACATGTATCAATAAATAAAATGGGTTATATACATATAATGGAATATTATTCAACCATAAAAAGAATGTTACTGATGTGTACTGTAATGTGTCTGAGGTTTGCCAACATAATCAGTGAAATAATCCAGAGGCATAAGGGCAAATATTGTATGATTCCCCTTGTGTGAAATATCTAGGAAAGGCAAATTAACAGAGATGGAAGGTAGACTAGAGATCTCCAAGGTCTAAGGGAAGAGGAGAATAGGAAGTTTTTGCTTAATGGATACAGAGTTTCTATTTGGAGATGAAAACATTTTGGAAATACTGGGGATGGTTTCGCAACACTGTGACTGGAGTTAACGCCAACAAATTGTACATTTAAAATGAGTTAAGACAATCCATTTTATGGTATATATATTTCACCTTGATAAAAGTAATTTTAAAAAACCTGGTGAATGTAGACGTCTGTGTGTGAATGGGTTTGTCTGTAGTAAGGTGAAGGGCAGAAGCGGGGGGGCTTATTAAGGATGAGTCAACAGGATGAATGCAGGTGGACACTGAGTAGATGGATGGGAAACTGGGGAGGGAATGAGAGGCTCCAGATGGGAGGTGGATTTTTTTGTGGGATCTGGCCCATGGCTAAGCCATGAATTGAAGCGGAGGAGGTGACGGTGAGCTTTCTCTAGCCTGCCTGCCTTAGGGCCACCCAAGGCCAAAGCACATCTCTCTGTGGCAGGCTCCCTGCAGCTGGATCTCAACCACATGCCCAAGCCAGCCAAGACGGCTGAGAAGTGCTCCCTGGACCAGCTGGACGACACCTTCCACCCGGAATTGTTTGTGTCCCTTTTTGAGCAGAAGACAGTGAAGGGCTGGTGGCCCTGTGTAGCAGAGGAGGGTGAGAAGAAGATTCTCACGGTGAGTCTTGCTTCCCCAGCCCCCCGGTGGAGGGTGCCTGGTGGCTTCTTCCTTAGAGAGTGGCGGGCAGCATGTGCTCCCTTCTCCTCTCCTCTGTCCCTCTAGTTTCCAGGGCATTCTCCTCCCCTGTCCCTGTTCCCATCCTCAGCCTTTCTTTCCTTTGAGGCTCACACCCAGGGGACACAATTAAATAGACTATGATGGCTGGGCAGGGCGTGTAATCCAAGCAGCTCTGGAGGCTGAGGCAGGAGGATCACGAGTTCAAAGCCAGCCTCAGCAGTGGTGAGGCCCTAAGCAACTCAGTGAGACTCTGTCTCTGAATAAAATACAAAATAGGGCTGGGGATGTGGCTCAGTGGTGGAGTGCCCCTGAGTGCAATCCCTGGTACCAAAAAAATATAAATAAAAAATAAATAGATGGATGGATACATAGATAATGGACGATGCTTCTATTCTGTGTGTTCCTAACAGTGATCAGGGTTTCCTGGGGGATGGACGGGGTCTTGTCTCTCCCATTGGAGCAGGACCCTCCCTCCCGGGGATCATCCTGGCTCTGCTCTCCTTGCTGAGAGGTTTGATCTGGGGGTGATTAGAGGACCAGGGAGAACCTTCTTTCCGCCCATCCCCCAGCTCAGAGCAGCTGCAGAAGGAAGCGAATCCCAGACACAGAAACAGCCGGCAGCCAGCCAACCCTAAAGTGGCCCTTGAAATAAAATACCCTTGTTATGTGAAGAATTGTAATGATTACTACAAAATACTAACACCCCAAATGAAGCATGAGCAAAGGACCTCCGTAGATAATCCACAGAAGTGCAGATGTCCATTAATCATGCAAAAAAGGGGTTTATTCCTTCTAGTAATTAAAAGACTATTTTTAATGTGATTTTTTTGTTTATTAAATTAGATATCAAAAAAGAAATACTGATCAATGGTGAGAACGTAGAGAGACAGACCTCCTTATTTACTTTGCTAGGAGTGTTAGAGGTTTTAGTGTCGGGAGAAGCACTTTGGTAGCATACAGCTAGAGATGTAACCATATTTATGCCTTTGGACTCTGTTGTCCCACTGCTAAACTCTCTTCTAAAGAAATAACCAGATAAAACGAAATAGTTCTGGGATGTTTGCTGCAGCATTATTTTATAATATCAAAGAGTTGGAAACAACCTAAATGAACCAAAATAAGTAGTTTACTAAAATACATTATAGTCAAGCACCCATGAAATGTTTTACAATCATTAAAAACCAAACTTTAAAGAATATATAATTATATGCTGAAATATATTCCTAAGTGAAAAGGGCGAGCCGTAGACCTGTGTATACAGTGTGATATTCCCTGCACTTGCAGCTCTGGGGCATAAAAGGTTACTGACTGCTTGTCTGCACGTGGTGGAGGTATGGATGACAATCTTTCTTTATACACTTCTGTAGATTCTAAGTGTTCCCCAGGGAGCGGGTTCGGCTTTTATCATCACAACATCTCTACATCTTAAAAATATTAAAACAATGAAGTGGCCTTGTGTTCATCCCGGCCTGGCTCCTCTCCAGGCCACCTGGTAGTCCCTAACCAGACTGTGTGTCCCTCCCACAGGGCAAGCTGGAAATGACCTTGGAGATCGTGTCAGAGAGTGAGCATGAGGAGCGGCCTGCTGGCCAGGGACGGGACGAACCCAACATGAACCCAAAGCTCGAGGATCCAAAGTTAGTGCCCAGCCCCATTCCTGGTGCCCAGGAGGTGGAGGGGTACAGGCCCTCCTGGGGGGCACCCAATGCACAGCCATGCACAGGTCACAAGGCCCACATGGCTCAGAGAGGGGGCAGGTGACAGGCATCATTTCAGGGGTTGTGTGCCAACGTGCTGTCATTCAGCATGTACACCTTGTCCTTGGGAACCGTCCCTGTTGGGTGGTCATTATCCCCATTTTACAGGTGAGAAAACAAAGTAAAGTTTAATAAGGTTTTTCCAACTAGGAAAGTAGGGAAGCTGAAATTCTCCAGTGTGCTCTGATTAGTTCTCATCCAGGTCTTTCCCTTTACCGTGCTGCCTCCATGACTGTCCTCTGGTGTTGTGGCTTTCGGATGGCTTTGGGGGCTTTATTTTCCCATCTGTGAAATGGGGAGACCAGTGCTTTTTCCTGCCCACTAAATACAATTTTTAAATCCCTTTTTTTTTTTTTTTAATCCCATACATCTCTTAGAAAAATAAAGCAAGCCAATGGATGTGGGCTTCTCAAAGGCAGCTCCTGGACAGTCACTAAAAGACACTTGGGGCCAGGCAGAGTGGCATATGCCTGTAATCCCAGTGGCTTGGGAGGCTGAGGCAGGAAGATTGCAAGTTCAAAGCCAGCCTCAGCAACTTAGTGAGGTCCTCAGCAACTTAGCAAGACCCTGCCACTAAATAAAATATAAAAAAAGGGCTGGGGACCTGGCTCAGTGGTTAAATGCCCCTGTGTTCGATTCCTGGTACAAAGAAAAAAAAAAAAAAGACTTGGGAACTTGGGGCTGTGTATGATGTCCCCAGCCAGCCTGCTTAGTACAGACGGCTCATTTTGACACAGCGCTATCCTGAGTGCCATGCATCTGGCCGAGCTGTGAGGGGTGTGGTTGCCCCCGGATGCTGGGATCTGGTAGACAGAGAAGAGAAAGCCGTGAGACCCAGGGCTACAACCAGACGTGAACACGGCCTTGATCTGGACACAGAATCCTGTGTGTTCTTTTGAGCCGTGGGGCTGGCTGAAGGGAGGGTTTTGAGGTTCTTGGTTGGGAGTGAAAGAAAATCAGCCTCTGGGTTCTCTTCCCACCATCCTCCCCGAGTGCGGCCCAGCCATGGCCGTCTGGGAAAGTGGGTAGCTGCTCTGGGGCCTGTGGGCCACGGCTCACCCAACATGGCAGCTCCCAAATCTGGGGTCTGTGATGAAGGCCTGAGGCGTGGGCTCCGGGGAAGGCTCCTGGGGAGGGCAGCTGGGGACCAGCTCCAGAGCACCGAGAACAGGAGGGAGTCAGAGTCAGGGCTGATGCTGCAGCAGGGGCTGGGGACAGGGATGCAGACCTCAGGGGCTGAGTTTAGGGGCAGAGGCTGGAGGCCAGGTGAGTCCTGGGCACCCTGGAGGCCAGGGCTATTCGACTTGCAGGCTCAGGTTCGCTGACTCCTGGGGTCTTGCTTCCAGGCGCCCTGACACCTCTTTCCTGTGGTTCACCTCCCCGTACAAGACTGTGAAGTTCATCCTGTGGCGGCGCTTTCGATGCGCCTTCATCCTCTTCCTCATCCTCTTCATCCTGCTGCTGTTCCTGGGCATTTTTGTCTACGCCTTCCCGGTGAGCAGGCCCGATGGAGAGGCAGCTGTGCCGACCTGGGGGAGCTGTGGGGCTGCTGGGGAAGCTCATCCTCAGGAAGAGGAGTAGCCTCTGTCCCCAGGAGTCCCTGGTCCCATGAGGGGACTAAAGATGACCCCTGGGAAGCCCTTAGTCCCAGGGGGGGAAACTGAGTCCTTGCCCTGTCAGGGAGACACAGCGGTCTTCAGCAAGCCCCTGGAACCTGTGTAGTCAAGGGGTTGGCAAAAGATGAGGCCCCTTGGGATGGAGCGAGCAGGGGAAACTTCTGGAAAGATGACGTGGAAACTGGATCTGGACAGGAAGTTAAGAATTGGGGGGACCACAGGGGATGGCCACTCTGCCTTGAGGACCCCACTTGCTAAGTCCAGAGGAAGAGAGAGGCAGGATGCAGGAGAGGGTCCCGGTGTCTCCTGAAGACCTTGGTAGAGTGTGTCCTGCCTCCTGCAGTGGGGGTGGGGATGGAGAAAGGGGAGGCCCAGGGGTCTGGTCCAGGAGCCCCTCAGGTTGGCAGGGCACACAGTGGAGGGTCCCTTTCACTTGGTAAGAAGCCAGCTGATACCTGGCAAAGAGCTTGCTAGGCCCACACCCATGATGGCTGCTGTGTCCCAGCTCCATGGGACCCTGCCCCAGGGAAGGGGGGCTCAGGTGTCTGCCTTGGCTTTTACAGGTAACTCTGAAAATGCCCCAGCCCCCAGTGTCTCTAGAACTTCAGACATTGAAAGGATCACAGCATTCTCAGGATCACACCTGATTTCTCACGTCCTTTACATCTTTGTAATATGAGCATTTTAAACCTATATAAAAAACGTAGAGAGAAGGGTGTCACCAGCCCCTGGATACACTGATTTTCACAGCAAAGACTCGAGGGGAAGGGCTGGCTCCAGCACACAGCTCCTGCCCAGGGATCACTGGTTTCTCACTTCAGTCCGGGAGCCTCGTCCTCATTGCAGCAGCTGCTGGGAATGACTCCCAGGCAGCTCTTTGCTCTGTGAACCTTCCAGGAGGTGGAAAGGGGTGGAGACTCCCCTGCTGAGAGTTGGTAGCTGGCATTGCCTTGTCGGCAGAGTGTGTCCCAGAGGAGGAAGCCTTGAAACCATAGACCACCCCATGCTGTCTCTAATGTCATAAACGGAGAGGAGCCACGGAGGGACAGATGTCCAGGCCCCAGCTCTCTAGGGGCCAACGCAAGAAAGAAGGCCCAGAACCAGGATGGCTGATGGGTCCAGCTACGGGCCAGGCCCCCCACGCTGGCTGGGGTCACCTCGGGTGCCTTGTTAACATGTTTTCTGGGGCTAGCAAGAAGAGTTGAGGTCAACTGGCCAAACTGGACTGTGGTGAACCCAGATTGGGGGGCCCTGGAAGTTTGTATCATTTCAGGGGCCTCTTTAAGAAAGGAGAAAGAGATCCCAAGGTTAGAGACAGGTCTGTAGAAGGAACCACTCAAGTATGGTGTCCTGGAGCACAAGCTGCTGCCGGAGGTGACCTGGGCTGTGACGAGGCCCCAGAACTTCTGCCTGGGATTTGCTCCCAGGGGCGGCCCAGGCTGCCCAGCTCCCGTCTCTGGGTCAGCTCCAGCTGGGTTTTGCTCACTGGGCATACCAGCTGCCATCAGCTAGCTGGGAGGCTTTCTCAAGCCAGCACATGTGTCTGGGCAGAGTGGGCACGTTGGGGGCATGAGGAGATGAGGAGGCCTGTGCCACCAGAAGTTCTTGGTTTCCTGGGAGACATTGAATAAGGACGACCACAGAATAAGGCCAGCCACCGTGGCTAATCGAACATTCCATTAGGAGTCCCAAGCTGTAGGGGTTAGGAAGGGGGGCTGGTGCAGGCACGCTCCTCCACGTGGGCCTGAAGCCACCAGCACCAGCATCATCGGGGAACTGGCTAGAATGCAGAGTCCTGGGCCAGCCCCCAGAGTTTGCCTTTGGGCACACTGACGTTGGAGAAGTGCTGTTAAATGAGATGGAGTTCTGCACTTGAACTCAGCAAGACCAGCTCCACCCATGACTTCTTGTGTGACCTTGGCAAGGTGGAGGCGGTGGGGGGTGGTGGTGGGGGACGACCAGGTCAGCTCTGGCCTTTTGTGACTGTGACTAGGACCAGGGGAACTCCTTCAACTTCCTTGTGGAGCAGCATATCAAGCCATGTCTCTTCCCAAAGAGCCCAGGGGAGGGCAGGGGCAGGCCCCAAGCAGCACCCCCACTGCCCTTTCTATGCCTAACCCCAGGCCACAGCCAGCTTGCCCACCTTATGGGGCCTTTGGGTGGCAGACCTAGGATCTGGGAAGGAGTCTCTCTGCCTGGCTGGTGGGAAGGGGAGGCTTCTAGTCCTTTCTAGCCTGTGGTCCTTCTGTGTCCCTGGGGCTAGCCTTAGCCTCAGCCATGTGGGCAGGAGCCGAGTAGCATTTTGGGGGTCCTGTTCAGAGGCCCTCCCCTGACTCCTGGACTCCTTAACAGTATCACTGTCCCTCAAGTCTTTCTAGAAATTGTCCTCTTTAAATACTGACCCTGCCTTCCCTCTCCTACAGCCAACAAGGAGGGGCACATCCTAGTCCAGGGCGCCAAGGACCCAGGGGCCAGCCTGGGACTGAGGCAGCAGGACTTTTGCTTGTAGGCTTTGCTCCAGGCTGGGAAAGTCCTGCTCCCCTTCACCCAAGTCAGTCACCTGGCCAGTCCCACTTCTGTGAGGACTGGACTGGTGCCCCTCACCTGGCTTTCAGGCCAGGGACACAGGGCTTATGCTAGCTGGCCCAAGCCAGGCCCAGTGGAGAGGGGCCCAGGGTGGGGCTGCTCCCCTCCAGTGGGCCCAGTCCCCCGCCCTCTTGGAAATTCCCCTGGGAGGGGCGAGGGGGCAGCCTGTCTGATTCCTCTCGGCTCCCCCCTCGGAGCCAGCTGGGAGCAGGGCCAGCGTGGGGAGGCAAGAGGAGAATTGGCGGGGAAGGCCGGCCGGCTTTGTTTCCAGAGTTGGCTTCCCCGGGCCGGCGCTGGGGAACATACTGTCCCAATTAGGAGCCCTGTGTTGTGTTGTGTATGTGTTCATGGTTTTTTGGAGGGTGGAGTGGGGAGGGGAGGTTCCTGTCAGTCCTGCAGCAGGCCGGGCTAAATCAAGGGCCACCCATCTCTGGTCCTGCCCCACGTCAGGGCTCCACAGCCCAACTCTCTCTCTGGCAGGAGCAGGGTGACCAATGAGATTGGGGTTTCCATGCGTGTGTGTGTGTGTGTGTGTGTGTGTGTGTGTGTGTATGGAGGCCATAGGGGAGAATTGTGGCCCTGCCTTCAGCATCAGGAAGAGCCCAGGGTGGGCCTCCCGAGGCTAGGCCCTTGGGGATCAGAGTCCCTTGGCCAGGGCCTTGATGATCAGAGTCCTGGTTGGAAGGTGGGAGTGGGCCCCAGACTAATGGAAGAGAAGATGGGACAATTCAGGTGGCCTTGGTCCTAGATATGGGGAGGGTGTGAGTGGCTTCAGGAGGGCATGGGTTTGCCTGATGGGTGGGTGTGCCAGTCAGGGTGGAGTTTGTTCCAAGTGTGGGGGAGAAGCAGGTGTGGGCAAGGAGTGGGCAGGTGGGTGAGGAGCCATGAGCCTCCTTTCCCAATCTCCTACCTGTCACTCAGACCTGTCCAGGTGCTCTGGCTGTGCCTGCCCGGAAAGGGGTCACCAAGTGTCCCTGCCTCCTTCCTCCCTCCAGAACTATGCTGCCATGAAGCTGGTGAAGCCCTTCAGCTGAGGACCCTCCTGTTCTGGAGAAGGGGGCGCGGGCTGCCCTCCCAGTCAGGGCTGGCCTGCCTCGTCCGCCCAGCTCAGCCGAGCTCCTGCAGACCTCCGCAGCCTGACCCTCCTGCCAGGTTGGGCGGATAGCACCTGCTGCAAGAGTGACTGACGAACGTGTTGCTCTGGGATCACCCACTTTCATCATCTCTTTCTCCCCCCATCTGATCCCCTTTTGGATCAGCTCATATAATTTCAGTATAAAACAGACTGAACCACAGAGTGCATTGACTGTGTACTTGAGCAGGGAGGGGAGTGGGGGTGGCTGGGCAGGGGAGGGGTGTGTCTGGGTGGACCAGGTGAGCGCCAGGTGCCACCATTGCTGGTATGGCCTTTCAGCGGGAGAAGCAGGTGGGCGGGGCCCCTGGAGCTGCTTTTACAAGGCTGCCTGGGGGTAGGGGGCTTGGAGCCCGGGTGTCTGGCTGGCCTCACCACCAGCATTTCAGGCCTCCTTTCCTTCCTCGGGCTTTCCCCTTGCCCCCTCCCCTCTCCTCACTCAAGTACCCTCCTTTTTTTCCAAGTCTGCCCTTTGCTCCGGTGGGCAGTCACCTGAACCGTCGGGTTTCCTTGGTCATGCTGAGGAAGAGGTTCCACTTTACAAAAAAAGGAGAGTCAGGCTGGGCGCTCCAGGCTGAGCGGGCTGTGGGAGCTCTGGCTCAAGCCAACCTTGACCCTGACACTCTTGGGAACCCTTCCCTCTGCTTCCTCCTTCTGCTTTAAAAGTCTGAGCTGGAGAAAGACAGCTTTTCCTTGCAGTCTGAGGCCTGGCCTTCCCCATTGGTCTGATCTATCCTCAGGAAACCAGGCTCACTCGGAAGGAGCAGCAGGAACATGCTGGAAAAGGCAGAGCTGGAGAAGGTGGCTTCTAAATGTGGCCTCCGCCGCTCACCCCAGGGCTGGAAAACCAGCCTCCTTTCCGGTCCCACCCAGGCCCCAAGGTCCCCAAGGGAACCTTCCAGCCCCACTTGGTTCTCCACTGCACTCGGGGACCCAAGATCAGGCCCCTCTGGATTGGGAGGTTGGACGGTGGCTGAGAGAGGGGTGATGTCCAGTAATTACCTTGGGGAGGGAGCTGTACCTTCCGAACAGAGTGATTCTACTTTAGGGGAGATTCAGGTGGGAGGTGGCCGTGAGCCCCAAGCACCGTGTGGCCTGTGCTGAAACACTGCCACCTGAACCCTGGAGCCAGAAGCCACAACTCACACAGAACACACAGCAGGGAGCCGGGTCCAGAGCGCTCCTGGAAGGCTGAGAAGGTGGCGAGCTCTTGCTGGGCATGTGCAGTGTGGCCCGTGTGTGGCAGAAGGGGAGGCTGCCTCCAGAGCAGGCTGCAGGAGAGTGGGCAAGAGGCGGGCTGCAGATCCGGGAGGGGCCAAGGGAGCTTTGTAGGGTGGAGAGGACTGAGAACATGTGAAGGTAGAGAGAAGGAAGCCCCTGAATCAGGAAAGATGGAAGACAGGAGAGAGTATGGGTTTGCCTGATGGGTGGGTGTTTTTAAAGGAATATTTAAAGGAATCAGTTTCTGGAAAAGGTAAGGAGGGTGTTAGCTCTGGAAAGAAGATCTGGCTTTTTCTTCCAGGCCCAGAAGGCAAGCGCAAATAAAGGCATGCCATGCAACTATCAGCTGGCTTAAAAGGGTTTTGAGGGTCATTGTCCCATTTGTTCCATTGACTGAGATGTTTTGTCCTTGCCACTCTGGGTTGCAGGTATTAGAAAAGGCCACTCAACCTAGTAAAGGGAACTTAAGGGATTTATGGAAATGAAACATCAAGGGTCGGCTTCAGGCAAGGGTTCATCCAGCTTCCCAACTAGATCACTAAGAGTTTGTGTTTTCTCTCTGCTCTGCCCTCCTCAAGGTCGGCTTTAGCTATAGCTGGCTTCATTCCAAAACTGGGCTTGAAGCTGTTTCCTGGGATCACATGGGCCAATAAGAAAAACTCAGGGGGGTCTGGGGGATGGATGCTAAGGGGATACTTGCCCAGCAAACATGTTCAGTGTGGAGGAGCTTCATGTGGTAGGCCCAGAGCAGATTCTGAGGATCAGCCGTGAGTTACCTGTGACTCCTGTCCTCCCAGGGCTCCCAGCAAGGACAGAAAACTGTCTCCTGATAGGAGGAGTGTCCCAGAAGGGGTGTGTCCTGCCCTGTGGAGAGGAGGCACAGGAGATGCTCTCTAGAAGGGACATTATTTGAGCAGAGGATTGGACTGGCCCAGAGGCTAAGAGAAGGGGGTTCCAGTGACGGAGGTGGAGGCCGAGTTGTGAGCTGGAGCCGTCAGAGAGCTCTGCTGTCCAGGGTGTGGTCACAGCAGGGACGCGGCTCAGGAGATGAGCAGAAAGAGGGGCTGGAAGGGGAGGGTCAGGTGTGCACACCTGCCTCATTCTGGAGGCAATGCAGAAGCACAAGAGGACTCAACACTCCACTGGCGGATCAGCAGCCTGTTTTTTTTTTTTTTTTTTAAATGATCCCTCCAGCTTACTTCTTATCTTGGGAGACAGGAGTCCCCAGGGGACTCAGAATGGGCTTCAGACAAGTCAAGCTATGGCCAACTGTCTCTGGCAGGGAGCATGGGGATCCCACCTTACTCTCAAAGTGGTCTCTGGTCACAAATGCTGAAGAGCAATTGCTCAGGGTGCTGCGTGGCCGGTTGCAGAGGGCCATTCTAGAAGGCTGGTTCATGAATCCAGAAACCAACTGGGGACTATCTGACAGGTGAGGTTAGAGTGAATCATTCATTCCTGTCTTTCATTCATTCATTCATTCATTAAAGAAATATGCATGCATCTATATTTGCCTATGCACATAGACGTACACGGAGACAGAGACGGAGAGGGCTGTCCGCAGACACGGTGCTAGATTTTGGAGATGAATGTTGAGCAAGACACAGGTGGGTGCTGTCTTCCCCAGAAGCAGGAAATAGGACAGGAACAGACACTGTCGGAAGGACAGGAGGTACAGGGTCAAGCAGGGGAGGGAAAGTGTGAAAAGGGAAGAAAGTGCAACCAGGCAGGATGGCACACGTCTGTAATCCCAGTGGCTTGGGAGGCTGAGGCAAGAGGATAGAGAGTCAAAGCCAGCCTCAGCAAAGGTGAGGCACTAAGCAACTCAGTGAGACCCTGTCTCTAAATTAAATGCAAAATAGGGCTAAGGATGTGGCTCACTGTTGAGTGCCCTGAGTTCAATCCCCAGTACCCCTCCCTCCACAAAAAATAGGAGGGAACAAATTGCCCAAAGGCAGGCCATAACCAGAAACAGGCTCTAAGATCCCTAGGAATTTCCACATGGATACCAAACAGTGGTTCTCAACCAGGGGCAGTTTTGTCCTCCAGGGCATATTTGGCAATACCTGGAGATTTTTTTTTGGGGGGGGTGGGTGTACTGGGGATTGTATTCAGGGGCACTCAACCACTGAATCACTTCTCCAGCCCTATTTTATTTAGAGACAGGTCCCACTTAGTTGCTTAGTGCCTCACTTTTTGCTGAGGTTGGCTTTGAACGTGATCCTCCTGCCTCAGCCTCCATAGGATTACAGGTATGTGCCCGTGTGCCTGGCTAGAGACGTTTTTGATTGTCATAACTGACAGAGGAGAGGTGGAGATTTCTTATAGCCTTCAGTAGCTGCTAAACATCCTACAAATCCCAGGGCAGTCCCTTTATCCCTACCCCACTGCCCACAACAAAGGATTACCCAGTCTAAAATGTCAAGAGTACTGCTGTTGAGATATCCTGGCATAGACACAGTGGAGTCCAAAAATGATGGACAGATAATTTGCTAGGATTTGAGGACAGACTTGTCAGGGCTAGGGGAGTGGTGGGATGGGAGAGAAATTCCAAGTGCTTCCCAACCGTCTGGCTTTATGAGGGGTCAGCTGTGGTCCCATTCATCAAGTCCGTTCTGGATAAGGACGTTCAATCGTGTTTACAGCATGAACAAAATGCCCTTCCTGCCCTCCATATCTCCCTGCTAACTAGGGCGGAGGTCTCTCTCCTCCTTTTGCAAAGTTCTGGAAAGCACCGTCCATGCTGGTTGTATCCACATCTTCACCTGGCCCTTCCACCCACTGTGAAGGTTAAGCCATTGACCTTGACAGCCACCGGCTCAGGAAGAGGCATGTCACTCATTTATGGTCAATGAGATATGAGGGGAAGGTGGTGGAGTTAGGAGGGGGACTGGGGCACTGCTAGAAAGAGTTGCTCCTAAATACAAAAGGATATAAAAGGAGACACATCCTCATCTTTTGTCTCTTAATCTTGTGGGAAAAAAAAATGTAATGACAGGAGCTGTAGCTGCCATCTTGGTGTCTTGAGACAAATTTGGGGAAAGGAAGATGGGAAGGACCTGATTCTTGATGAAGCTCTGGAGAAAGAACCAAGCCTAGAACTGCCCCACCTCCAGACCAGATGTCTTGTGAGGCAGGATCATAAATTCCTGATTGTGCCAGGCCCTTTTGTCTGGGTGGTATGGTACCCACAGTATCCTTTCTGGGGAGTTTCATGCTGTTCCCTAAAATCCAGTTTTACTACAGTCACCATGAAGCAGGGCTGCTGTGTGCAGGCCTCACATCTAAGACATCATATGCTTATTATTTATTATAATAATGTCCCCGCAGATGGCAGTAAAGTGTTTTGTTCTAATAAAACCAGTGTGTTACAGTAGTTTTCTGATAGAAGTAAATCACTTGAGGACAGGGCACCTTTTTTTAATTCACCCAAGGGCACCCTCCAGCCCTAGTTGTTAAATCTGCGGACGCTCGTCCTTTAGGACCCTTAGCGGCGACGGGAACAGGGATGTGCTCCGCTTCTTGGTAAACTCTGCCTGTCCTGGGCTCCCTGGTTCCCTGGTCACCTGGGTTTCTTCTCCCTCTGTGACCGGGCCTTCTCAGTATTCTTCTCTGTGGGTCTAGAATGTTCCTTGGGGCTCTTTTCCTGGCCCTTATTTTCACACTGCAGACCTCCTAGGTCACCTCACCCTGTCATCCGACTTTATTTGTCCTCAGAGGTGAATCCCTGTCTCACCCAGCTCTTCTCTTGAGCTGCAGGTACCTTGTTGGACTGCTTAGCCCTGGGCTCCCCCCACCCCCACCCCCAACCCCAGGGTGACTCAAGCCCACAGCTCAGAGGCTGTTACTCATTCAAAATCTCCATCCTCCACCGGCAAGAGAAGCTCCTACTTCATTCTTCCCTCCATCTCCCCAGTCACTGGGGCTTCAGTGATTGGGGAC